CAAAAAGATAAAAACTTCATCTTTATTATGAGTGAAACGTAGTTAAAAAGACTAATCGTGCAGTCATGTTAGGTAAATAAATGAATTGTAATATGTGAAACTAAATTGCCTGCAAAAGTGAATCAATAGTGCCAAGTGACATTTAGTATGAATCCCCTATGAGGTGTTTTTCCATGTTAGTGCTTTTAAGTAGGTTTCGTAGTGTATAAGATAAATGTGTCCCATTTAATTCCAACCATAGCAATGGCATGCTTATTTGTACAGATTAGACTTTATATTGTTTAAAATTAACATGCCATGCACTAGACAGACAATTGGGTGAAAAAGGGCTGTAATATGAAAGTGATCAGTTCATTTGTATGCACGAACAGTTTAACAATTTAACATAGATCGTGCCAGATAAGTAAATTTAAGCAGTAAAACAGACTGTGTTTGTCTAAAAACAAATGAACAGCAAAGAATTTGTATGCAAAACTGATGCCTGCGGTCGGTTGTTGGACCGCACGAAAGAACAAACAAAAGTGAGTGTACCCTGCAGTCGGCTGTTTTAAACCGCACAAAAGAACAAACAATCGTGAGTGTACCATGCAGTCGGCTGTTTATGCCACACAAAAGAACAAACGAAAGTGCGTGTACCCTGCGGTCAGCCGCAGAAGTACACAAACGGTAAATTATGCACGAACAGTTAAGTTTAAGTGAAGGGAGCCTATCCCCGCGTTTTTAGGCCTGAACGTGGGAAATAGTTGAACACTATTTCCCACATTATGCTTATGTGGATGTGCCGGTCTCATGACTGGAAGGCGGGTACCGAGGCTGGTGAGAAGCCGGGTGGCAGGCATGGAGGTCAGAGGCAGAGGAACTGCTGGCTACGGAACTGCTGGCGACAGAAGTGGTGCTAGAGGCTTGAATTTTTTGGCAGGAACTTCGCACCAGGAGTGCTGGTTGCTAGGGAGAAGACAAACAGCTTGAACGGCAAAGGTGAGTAGGGGCTAGGAGTTTAAATAGGGGCCATAACTCCTCCCACAAATTCAGGGCTAATGGCCTTTTAACATATAATTTTTCTTTTTAGTTTAATATTGTTTGATATTAACATGAGGTTAGATAATCTATTCTGAGCAGAACATGATTTATTTTCACAGGGATTTGAATAAATTAGTACACTGGACAAGCATGTAGCAGATGAGATTCAATGCAAGATCTCCCCTTCAATATGTGACGAAGTATTGGGTACAGGTTATAAGCAATTAGATAAAAGTGCATATGTGAGTTGCAAAATTAATAGGGAAAATTAGTCATTAAGACGTGGAATTATTTGTCAAAGAGGTTGTTTTCTTATAATGTGTATAGATTTTAAAAAGGTCTATATGCTTTTTTAGTAGATGTTTAAATGATATTCATAGTTAAATAACAGTCATTAGATTGCCACTTCTCATTTTTGAAAAGTTTATTAAACTTCATGAAACTTAGTGATATTTTTAAATCATGTATTTTTATGTTTTATTTATTTTTTTAGATTCACATTTTTAATCTGGTTGAGCAGCCATGTTGGGTCAGACTCTGCTGTTACCTGATCAAATACAAGCAGAGCATGCAACAAAAACAATGAATTGCTCTTTGATGCAGCTTTCCTGGAGCTGTAGCATACTAGGGATGTGCTTACCTGTGCCATCCTCTATAACAGATGCTGTGCCTTCCATGCTCATTTGCATATTCAATTTAGTTAGATTTAAATGATGAGAATTCACTTCTGTTCTAAAGCAGCCAGATCTGTCCAACTTAGAAAGTGATACCAATGTCAGTTTGGTCAAATTGTATCATTACTTTAAAAAGTACAAAATGTTCTGTGCAAAATCATGGGAAGTCACATGTCTAAAATTATATGGGTTTAGGGAATAATGTAAAGAATCTCCCACCATTAACCATCTTAAAATACCTTTGGTAAACTTGTTATTATCATTATTAAATTCTACAATAACCCTTATCTACAAAACTGTATACGCAACATTCGTTTTTATTTTCCATTGCAATATATTACACTAATCTCAATTTACACTAACTCTCTTCCAATGCTGGTCAAAAAACATATTTTGACCTTATATACTTTCCAACTCAAATTAATCAGATGAAGCCACTTTGTGATAACATCTGTATATTTTCAGCGTCTCATACAAGTTCATTGTTATTTCTTAAGCATTCTTATCTCACCTTTCCAGTGATGTTGTGACACAGATTGTTTAGCAAATCGTCAAAAGGTTCCCAATTCCAGTAGTGATAGTGATATATTTTTTTTCGGCAAAGACTAGCATGACATACACCTTGGACTGGTTTACCATATGTATACCTGGTCAATAAAAAAAAGTTTTTCCATCAATTAACTGCAGACATATTGAAACACAGAATGATCAAATTGTGTTAACATTACTTAACGGGTTACCCTGAGCAGTATGACCACTTCAGTAATTTGAAGTGGTCATGGTGCCTGGATCTGTATGTGCAGCTTTTCTCTGAGAAACTGCATGTATGGAGATAAACCACCTCTGACAGGGTAAGTCTTCCCCTCATCCTACTCTTTGTTATCCATTCTCCTTCAGCATGAGAAGTGATGTCAGTGGAGGAGGAAGATCGGTTGCAGGAAGAGCTTGATACAGGAATGGAGATATGTTTTACCACCAATATTGTCTTTTGTGGGGGGTTGAGGTAGAGGTGGGGTTTGTGGGCATTTTAAAAGAGTTAGTCTAACTAAAAACATTGTTTTCTTATTTCAAAGTTTGGCTGGAGTAACCTTAGAGTAACCCTATAAATTTCTAGGAAAAAATGGAAAGTAATTATGTGTCCGTGAAAGCATGATGATTCCTTTTTGAAACAAAAAATTCTGTATAGAGCAGGTGTGTCGTTAACCTTCTTGTCTTGTAAGCATTATTATTTTTATCTTGCAAATCTATGGAAGTGAGATCTACTTGCAGAGGTGGGCGGGCAATTTTTTGCCTGGGAAACAGGTACACCTTAATGGCTTTATTTTAATTGCACATTAAATTCACATATCTCAGTGTGGATTAGACTTGACTTTTGGTTTCATCCTATTTGAGAGTCAGTGGAATTTGGGACAATCGACTATTCAACCAAATTCCATATTTCCGTAGCGCCATATCGATGTAAAACCGAGCAATCCACAAGTCAATGTTGAATATTATCCAATGCCTTGGGACTCAGGGCTCGGCATGAACAAAAAAGAGGCATAGAATGGAGAAAAAGCTGACACGATGCAGCTTAGCTTCCCAAATTATCCAAATATCACCATTCAAGTCTCTGGGGATTTTTTTTTCACATTTTTTATTTTTGCGGTGCTGTTATATTTTGGCAAACATAAAAGAACATATTGACAGATATGTGCTGGTTACAGTAAATTGGTAAGGCATTGATAAGGAAAGAGGAGCACCTTTTTTTTCAATACTATTTAGCATAATATAATAGACATGCTATAAGTCTACAGCCTCGTATCTAACTATGCTTAACAGTAGGTGTAATTAGTTAACTTGGTAGGTTATGTTGGCTTCAACTTATGAGTGATCAGCGCGTGAAATGTTAGCTTATGGGGGGAAGAGTATGCTGGGTGTACCAGGCTTACGGAGCCAGTTAAGAAATAAAAACAAATTAATTAAAACAATTATAAGTCAAACAGTAGTTGGTAAGACCATATATACTGGTAGGGAAGTGCTATGCACAAGGACTGTTCATGGTGGTGGTTTGATGGATGCTCGAGTCGGCACAAATAGTGTGATTTGGTCTACAGACCATGATGGTTGATGCACTGCCGGTATGGATCCTGCCGGTAGACCCAGCTCACAGTGCAGCGATGGTACCTCTGACAGGTGAGTGACAGTATAAGCCTTACCACCTTTCTCCGCCAGAAGCCATCTTGCGCCCCACTTGTAGGATAAGTTATGTTCCCTTAGAAGCTTAGTAACCTGACAAAATGACTGCCTCCATAGGGTTGTATGGTGAGAAATGTAATTATAGAATGTAAGTTGACAGCCTTCAAAATCTGTGGAAGCGGTGCCCCTGATCGCCCCGCATAAACTTTAGAAGGACCTCTCTGGAAACCATTGGTGGTGCCCTAGGTGATTTGGGTAAATATAGGTAATAGTACAAATGACCAGTTTTTTTCTGTTTCGGTAGCAGCAGGACCAATTACAGCCCAAGGAGGGGTATTTAAACCCGAAAATACCTCAGCCCATTGCCCTGTCATGGTTTCCATTCCTGGTATCTGAGAGTGCGTTTTCTTGATCTTGTTATTGATATTCCTGGTATTTGACTTTGACCATTCCTAATTATTCTGATTTCTGGTTTCCCTGACTTGGCTTACCTATCGATCTTGTGTATTTCTGACTCCCTTGACCTCGGTTTTCCCTTGACTCTTCTCTATCTTTCAACGTATTAGTCCGGCCATTCTAAGGACCGTTTTACGTTCTGTCTGTTTTTCTTTTCTATGTAGATGTTACATAGTTCTCCATGTTGGATCATTTAGTTGTCTTAACACTGGATCATTAATTCTGGTGTGAGACTAGGCTTAGGTTACTGATGTTCTCCTGCCTAGCTTCTGATAGTGCTACTTACAGCAACTTTGAGTGGGAGGTAGGTCGACTGGGTCATTTATCAGTGTTGAAATGGTTAGGTTGGTGCATTGCCTAGCCCCTGTCAACCTTGATTTGAATATATATATATATATATATATATATATATATATATAATTACAATGTTAAACAAAAATCTGCACATCAGTCAAGCCATAAGACTTGCTTTTCCCACCAGTGAACCATCCATGGACAGCTGTTTCATTGTTAAGGCAAATCATCAGCATTAGGTTGGTTACTGGTATGCTATTGAGGCTTGGTAGTGCTTGGGAAGCAAAAACTAAAAAGGTTATGATGAGGTAAAAAAATGTTATTCAAAACCCCTTCCACCTGAAGTCTGTGGATAGTCTCACAGAAATGTGTGATCTATGTGTGTGTGTGTGTGTGTGTGTGTGTGTGTGTGTGTATATATATATACACACACACACACACACACACCAACTTTGAATTCTATAGTTTTACATATCAGGACATAATAACAATGATATTTTCCTTAGCAGATCTTAACCCCTTAAGGACTGAGGCAGTTGTACATGTTCTGATCAAAACAAAACGTAAACAAAGCCTGGAATATGTGCTATATATCTGTCCAACTGTAATTAACCTTTCATATTAAATGCACCCAGACTTGTTATATATCATTTTGTTCAAAACAAACAGAGCTTTCATGTCACATCAAATATTTGTATATTAAAAATAATTTACTGTGAATAAGATATTAAAAATTGGGAGACATCAAGAATTGTTTTATTTTTTTAGTTTTGTGTTGCAATTTAACTGTGAATGTCATAATACTGTGAGTTGTTACTGCACATATTTGTATTTAATAATGTCTCACGAAAAACAGTACCCCCCATGTACAGGTTTTATGGTTTTTGGAAAGTGACAAGGCCAAATATAACACATTTTTCAGTTTATGCACATTAAAATTTGCCAGACTGGTTATCTTGCCTTTGAGTCTGTATGGTAGCCCTGGAATGAAAATCCCCCCAATAAAAATATACCTTTTGCAGATGTAGACAACGCAAGGTATTACAAATGGGGTATGTCCAGTCTTTTTTTAATAGCCATTTGGTAACAAACACTGGCCAAATTTAGCATTCTTATTTGTTTGTATGTGAAAAATGCAAAAATCTAATTTGAATGCTAATTTTGGCCATATTTGTGACTAAGTGGCTACTAAAAAAGACTGGACATACCCCATTTGTAATACCTTGGGTTGTCTACTTTTGCAAATGTTATGCCATCATAGGTGTAATTCTCATTCCTGGCCTACAATACGGTCTCATAGGCAACATAACCAATCTGACAAATTTTAAAGTGATCAAACAGAAATGCAGGCCTTATATTTGACTCTGTAACTTTTAAAACACTATAAAACCTGTACATGAGGGGGTACTGTTATACTCGGAAGACTTCTCTGAACACAAATATTAGCTTTTCAAAACAGCAAAATGTATCACAACAATTATATAGTCCGTGAAATTGCCATTTGTATTTGAAAAATGCAAAGAAAGTCATCAGTGTGATATGTTTTACTGTTTTGAAACACCAATATTTGTGTACAGCAAAGTACCCCCCATGTGCAGTTTATGTATGTTCATATAAAAGTACTTAGATATTATATATATATATATATATATATATATATATATATATATATCTAAGTATTTGCATTTCATTTATAAAAGGATTTTGTAACTTTATTTAACTATTAAAAACTTTTTTACAGGCTCGGGGGAGGGGGGGGTGGCAGCTTGAGAGATCAGGCACCAGTGAATAAGTTATAAAAGCAGATAAAGACAGTAGTACAGTCTTAGAAATATACGAAATGAGTTCCAGAGTTAGAGTCCAGGAAGACATTTAGAATACTGTATGTCAAAGCCAACGATAATTCAAAATATGGGGAAGCCGCTCCGTGAGGTGAGGATGTTCTTAGAATCCATATGTGGAAATAAAAGAAACAACTGATGGTGCAATATATTCAACAGTCAGATTTCAGCTGGTAAAAAGTCTATTATGATTCTACTCACATTTTATAGAGATAATGGATTAGCTCTAATATGAAGTGCGTACAGTGGTATAATCTCCACTTGTAGGATACGTAGTGTCTTGTCTGAAGGAGGGTCATATTTAATAAAAAGGAACAGCAATAGTGCTCTTTATTTAAAATCAGGAAGGCAGAAAATAAAATATGAAGTGGTTACTCACATTTACATGAGCAGACAGACAGCTCAATGTATAGGGCTTGAGTGGTATAATCTCCACCTAGGATTATTTGGAGTAATGTCTCACTGGAACAGGATAAAACTCAGAAGCCAGATAAAAAAAAAAATAAAATATAAAATAAAATAAATAAAGTAAAATGGCAACTCGCAGGAAGGAAGTGACCAAACACCTTTAATAAAATACAATTATTAAAATGTCCACAACACGTTTCGGCAGCAGGCTTTATCAAGTGGAAATGCAGAGAAGAAAACCTGTCAAGTCTGAGTTTATAAAGGGAGTGAAACAGCTTGTGTGTTTAAAAAAATGGCACCAAAATGATGATATAATTCCATAACTGATATATAAAAACAAAGTAAGAAATTCATATATAGATATGTAATAAGAAACAAAAGTGTATATATAGTTAAAATAAATTAGTGGTGATTAAAAACAAGTATGTATGTGTCTATTATTTATATATATATATATATATATATATATATATATATATATATATATATATATACATATTGTTATTATTTATATAGTGCCAAATTCTGCAGCGCTTTACAGTGGGTGGACAAACAAACATGTAGTTGTAACCAGACAAGTTGGACACACAGGAACAGAGGGGTGAGGGCCCTGCTCAATGAGCTTACATGCTAGAGGGAGTGGGGTAAAGTGACACAAAAGGTAAGGATAGTATTAAACTAATGAGAGTTGCAAGAGAGAAATCAGTCGGGAGCTATTAACGGTTTAATAGATACGCTTTTATGAAGAAGTGGGTTTTTAATGATTTTTTTCTGAAGGAGTGGAGACTGGGTGTGCATCTAACAGAGGAGGGAAGAGAGTTCCACATGAATGGTGTAGCTCTCGAGAAGCCAATGTAGGAACTGACAGAAGGGTGAGGTGTAGGAGGTGCGAGCAGACAAGAAGATGAGCCTCGCCGCCGCCACATTTATTATGGACTGTAACAGCGCAAGTTGGGTAAGACCCCTGAGAAGTGGATTAAAGTAGTCAAGGTGAGAAAGCACAGTGGAATGGACCAGCACCTTTGTCGCATCTGGCGTTAAGTAGGGTCGGATGTGCGCAATGTTTTTGAGATGGAAGCAACAGGATTTGGCAATAGACTGAACATGAGGCATGAAGGAGAGGTCAGAGTCAAAGAGAACACCTAAGCAGCAAGCATGTGTGGTGGAGCTGATGGTAGCACTGTTGACTTGGAGGGAGACAGATATAGAAGTAGCAACACTTGAGGGAGGAAAGATCAGAATTTCCGTTTTGGTCAAGTTGACTTTAAGGAAGTGGGCAGCCATCCAGTTAGAAATAGCAGAGAGGCAGTCAGAGAAACTAGTCAAGAAGGACGGGGAGAGATCAGGAGAGGACATATAGATTTACGTATCATCCGCATAGAAATGATATTGGAAGCTAATGAGTTTACCAAGGGAGGCAGTATAGATGGAGAACAGTAGGGGACCAAGGACTGAACCTTGAGGGACACCAACAGAGAGGAGTTGGGGAGAAGAAGCAGAGCCAGAGAAAGAAACACTAAAAGAGCGCTGGGAGAGTTAGGAGGAGCACCAGGAGAGAGCAATATATTGTAGACCAAAATTGCAGAGGATGAGAAGAAGCAGTTGATGATCAACAATGTCAAAAGCCGCAGAAAGGTCAAGTAGAATTAGGACAGAGTAGTGACCATGAGATTTTGCAGCGAGTGGATCATTGGGTAATTTGGTCAGTGCCGTTTCCACAGAGTGCTTAGCGCGGATACTAGACTGAAGCGGGTATAGCAGAGAGTTTGACTCGAGGAAGTCTGTCAATCCCACGTACACAACTCTTTCAAGGATCTTGGATGCACAAGGCAGTAGCGAGATAGGGAGGTAGTTGGATGGGGAGTTAGGGTCAAGGTTGGGCTTCTTTAGAATTGGGGTTATAGCTGCATGTTTTGAAGGGCGATGGAAATATGCCAGAGGAGAGAGATTGACAGTTTTAGTGAGAGGTAGAGAAAGAGAAGAAGACAGAGTATGGATGAGATGCGAGGGAATTGGATCTAGGTAGCAGGTGGTGGGGCGGGAGGACTGGTGCAGAGCAGAAACGTCTGCCGCTTTAGCCGGTGCGAATGAACATAGAACAGCAGAGGGATGAGGTTAGGGGAAGTATTGTAAGGGGAAGAAGAAAGATGAGAGATCTCTTCCCTGATTGTAGAGATCTTGTCAGTGAATAGTGATGTCGCGAACCCGAAATTTTCGGTTCGCGAATGGCGAACGCGAACTTCCGCAAATGTTCGCGAACCGGCGAACCGGGTGAACCGCCATAGACTTCAATGGGCAGGCGAATTTTAAAACACACAGGGACTCTTTCTGGCCACAATAGTGATGGAAAAGTTGTTTCAAGGGGACTAACACCTGGACTGTGGCATGCCGGAGGGGGATCCATGGCAAAACTCCCATGGAAAATTACACAGTTGATACAGAGTCTGGTTTTAATCCATAAAGGGCAGAAATCACCTAACATTCCTAAATCACAATCAATATGGATTGACACCTGACATATGACATATTGACACCTTGACATATGGATTGACACCTGTCCTCAGAGCCCCTGATGCACACGGACACAGAGCAGAATAGAGACTGGTCCCCCTACATAGGGTCACTTGGCAGATATGGATTGACACCTGTCCTAAGGACCCTGATACACACTGACACAGAGCAGAATAAGGACTGTTCCCCCTGCATAGGGTCACTTGGCAGATATGGATTGACACCTGTCCTAAGGTTCCCTGATACACACTGACACAGAGCAGAATAGGGACTGGTCCCCTTACATAGGGTCACTTGGCAGATATGGATTGACACCTTGTTACAAACTGCTATTTGTAACGGGCCCTTTAAATGGCAAATTGCCCTGCTTCCCTGGGTTGTGGAGAAGCCTATTTGCCAGCCTCCTCCCACATGACTATGGCCCCTGGGAGATTGTGAAAATGTATGCACTTTTATTTGGTGTGTATGGCCTTTAAGACTGTCAGTGGGCATATTGGGGCTTATGGACTCTTTATGTGACTGGTGCTGGCCCTTTAAACACCTTTTTTGGGACATCAGGAAGATTGGGACACTGCCCCTTTAAGGCCGTGTCCCCAGGCTTGTTGGGGACCTACACGGCCCCGCTAAGGCAGTCCCCTGTGTCCCCAGACCTGGTGCAAACCCTTTGTGCCTGCCTTGCTGGCCCCACTTAGT